TACTGTAATTTATCAGTCTTTTCAAAAGACATGAATTACATAGTTCTCAGGGGCCTAATTTTTGGCTTATATTCATGCTGACCCTTGAATTGTGCTCTCCAGTCTTTTGGAATGTATGTGGTGGGCCGTTTTGGGAGAGGCTGGAGGGGCAGGCCAGGCCAGGAGCCAGAGTCTGCAAGGCTTGGTGGGCTAGGGTTAAGAATGTGGGTCTGAGTGTGGTGGGAAGCCACTGGAGGGATTTAATTAGGAAGATATCATAGAATAATTTATAGTTTAAAGATATGACTCTTGGCTGCTGTGTTGACAGTGGATTGTAAGGAGGCAAGAGTAGAAAAGGATAACCAGCCAGATATCTATTGCAGATCACTGAAGTAAGAGATGATAGTGACTTTGGAGTAGGACGGTAATGGTAGACTTGTAGTTTTATTTACTCCACTATCAAAAAAAAAAAAAAGACTATTTAGTAAATTAGACATGGGACATGAGGGAAAGGAAGAGTTAAGGTTGATTTCTAAGTTTCTAGCCTAAACAACTGGGAGGATCTGGTATCAATTATTTAGATGAAGACTGGAGGGGGAGCAGGGCAATTTTGTTGTCATGTTTGGGGTGGGGCAGGGAGCTATGGTGAAGGGAATGAGGCGGAAACAAAGGCTTATGTTAACTCTGTGATGCCTATAAGGCATCGAAATGAATAGGCCAAATGGGTTGTTGAATATATGACATTGACTCAGTAGGTAAGTTTGAGAATTCTTGGCATACAGTTCTCCTTCTGAGTCATGGAAGAATGGAACTCAGCTAGGGAGGGAGCATAGAGAAAATATAAGGCCCGAGGACATCCATATTTCCATAAAAATAGGGGAAGCTTGGGAGGAAGCCCAGGAGAGGACTGAAGAGGAGCAGCAGTAAGGAAGGAAAAACTAGAAGAACATAGTGGTCCAGCAATGAAGAGAAGGATCTTCCATGAGGAAGGTAACAACTCGTTATGTTGAATTGTGAGATGGATAAAAGAGCAAACTATGTCCACTGTTTTGAGCAATATGGAAGTTCTTGGTCACACTGACAAGGGCAGTTTATGACATGTCATGTAGACACGGGTGCAGAGTGGATTGAGGGGAGATGGTAAGGGGGAAAATGGGATGGCTATTTAAGCAATTATTTTAAGGAGTTAATAGAGCTGAGAAATAGATGGATAGCTAACCAAGAGTCAGAGGAAAATATTGTTTTTTTCTCAAGTTCTTAAGATGCGATGTATTGGAGTGTTTATGCTCATGGGCTTGATCTAGCAAAGAGACAGAACCTGATACTACAATAGGGAGGGAATATAATTGCAGCACAAAGTCCTGGATGCAAAAAAAAAAAAAAAAAATTGTGAGATGCAGAACAAAAGTGAAGGGTTTGGTTTAGAGAAGAGGAGGCAGAAAGTGTTGACATGGCCATTAAACAGGTGGGTGAGTTGATGGTAGGGAGATGAGGAAGTATCCATAATTAATTGTAACTAATGAATGAAGCAAGAGCATCAGCTGAAAGGGAGATGGGAAAATGAGATGTAAGTTTCATGAAAAAGTAGCAAATTTTGGAGTCATTATGGAAAATGGGATGGTGAACCTATAATCATGAACATGAAATCCCCTAAACTTATATTAAACAGGGTGGATTTGGATGCATTTTTTGCTTGGAAAGAGACTGATTAAATCTTAAGCTGTTTTTTTTTAATAATCTATAAAGGTAGAAAATTATTACATATTAACATATGTTTACAGTAGGAAATTAGTTTAATGATTACTTATAATCTTACTATTCAGAGATAATCATTGTAATATGTCTTTTCATTTATTATACATGCAAATACATGTATAGGAACAAATATAAAGGTCTTATTTTCATAATTAATACTATTTTACAAGATTTTATTTTGCCAATCATTTTAGCTTTTGCTGTGAGAAAGATGAAAATTATTGGAGTCATAACTTTGTCATATTGCAAATGTTTTCCGTAGTTATATTTTAGTATTTGTGTTGCTTTTCCAATTTTTACATAGATACATCTATAATAGAAAATGTAGTCATGTTAAAAAGGTGCTCTTCCAAGGATGTATACCAATTATTTTTTTTACTATTTAAAATGTAAAAATGAAAGTATAAATTATTAATCTACCAGGTTTTAATTTGATTAAATGTAATGAAGGGATCTAATTTTATTTTTAGAATAGTTTTAATCATTCTTAAAGTTCACATCCTATAATACAACCTTGTAATGGTAGAGCTCTCAAATGATGTCTTTAAAATTTTCTTTCAGATGCTATTCTTTAAACCAGATTTTTTTTAAAGAGTAAAAATAATCTATCATCCCTTCACTAGAGAAAATAAGTTGTACTTACTTACTTGAAATTATATTGTGTGTATAGATTTTTCCATCTGTATTTTCTCACTTTTTTAAGTTTTTAAAAAATGTCTAAGAGGATATTTTATTATTGATTTTAATAATAAGATATTACATTTAATTATTATTAATTAATATCTTAATTAAGGGGGAGAGGGAGAGAAAGAAAAGAGAGAGAGAAAAAAATTGATCAGTCACCTCCTGTATATGTCCCAACTGGGATGGAACCTGCAACTAGGTATGTGCCCTGACCAGGAGCACTGAGGTGTACAGGATGGTGCTTTAACCAACCAAGTCACTGACCATGGCCACTTTTTAAGGTTTTTGAAACACTCTTTCTAAACCATCACCTTAATGGTTGCCTTATGATTTGTTCTATTACTGGACATTTAAGAATGTTTCCAGGTTTTGTTTTAATTGCCTTTCTTATGTGTGATTATAAATAACACCATAGTTAACATTATTGGCACTTCATATTTAATTGAATTTGGTTTCAGTATACTTACTATAAAAGCACTACATATCCACTGTAGAAAGCTTTAAGGATGACAAAAATTATTATCCAGAGAACCACCATTAGACATATACCAACTCTTCATTCATTCAACTGTGGTTTTTCAGTACCTGCCACATAGCAGGCACTGCTTTAGATGCGAAACCTTCTCTGCAGAGCTAACATCCTAGTGTACATTTAATGATATGTCATGTCAGTCTCCTATGTGCAGAAATATGTGTGTTTTTAAAAAAGGGACTGTGCTACTTAAAAGTTGCATTGTAGTCTAATTTTTTCCTATAATATTAAGAACTTACTTCCATGCCACTGAGCTATCTGTTACAATATCACCTTTAATGGCTGCAGGAGAATTATTTTTGTGGATGTACCATATTTTATTCATCTACTATAATCAAACATTTTCTCTTTCAATTCCTGTTTGCTCTTAAAATTCATAAAATGAGTATTGTGCTTCTTTTTGATAGGATAGCTAACACAACCTCCACGAGATATGAAGGCACAGGCAGTGCGTGCTGTCTCTCTTCTTCATTCTTAAAACATCTCTAAGCAGATATCAAGGTAAATTCCTTTATAATACACCCAAGTGTTACTGCCTATTTGTATCATTAGAATGGAACACAAGCACACAGTGCCAGGTGGCTGTTGCCTCTGCAGCCATAGCATTGTGAACTCTTCTGAAAGATCAGTTAATGAGAAATGGGGAACAGACTGGAAGTTTGCATGAAGATTAAAAACCATATTTTCTCCTGTCTTATCTGATTAAGACTCTTTCTGTTATCTGCTACTGGATATAAAATCACTAGAAGGGCAAATTTGATTGATTGGTTGGTTTGTTTTTTTTTAAGTGTAAGCTTGGTGCTTATTCAACACTTGACAGGAGGCATTATCAGGTATGCTAGGTCCTGTGACAGGCATTTTTAATTAACTGATGAAACATTAGAGGCGTTTAGTAGAACAATTAGGGAAGTCAACAAAACCACTGCTTTTCTATCCCATCTTTCCATGCCTTTCTCTCGGCATAATACCACATCCCTCCAATACTGTGTACAGAGATGAGCGAAATCTCTCGAAGAAGAGAGGTAGGACATGGCAGGGTGGAAACAGCCCCAGAGGAGGAGGCAGAGGAAGGGACTTTATGACAGAGCCACATGAGCACCCAATTTCCCCACCTTGCGTGGCCTTGGCCAAGGTGCAAAGGAGTTTACTACACTGTCCATAAGAAACGTTCCTTTTCAGTCTTAGTATCATAGAATTCATACATAGGGCACACAGTCTACTTACAACGTGTTGTGAAACGGTCAAATAACCTGGATGCAGGCTTCAATAATTATGAAATGGAAGTAAGGATATTTTCTTTGCAAAATCCTTTGATAAATCCATTTGGTTTTTGAAATCAGCTTCTGAAATGGAGCATTAAATTTCCACATTTATATTCAGAATAATATTTATTAACTAGTTTTGATTAACTCATGGGACATCCTGAGAATTATCCCAAAGCCAACATAAGTGAGTTACTTCATCTGTCCTTTTGGACTCCTTCTGTCCATGCATTTCCTCACTTGAAACTAATGTCTGCATATTCCTAACCGATCTCTGCACAGATTGTTTTCTACATGCTCATATAATAACCAACCCAACAAAGGTAAGTTTGTGCTAATCTTTTAGGGCCTGCTGGCTCTAGCTAGCTGGATAAACTTTGTTATTTTATAGTAGGTGTTAAAAGTGAATGTTCTCAGGGAATAAAAATCAACAGAAGTCTTTTACTACATAATATACATAATTTCCAATAACTATAGCAGGCCAGGATCCGAGGAGAAATGAGACTATTGATCAAACTAGTGTTTCCGTGCTTCAGGCTGTTGCCAATTCTCACAACTACAATGAATCAAACAGATATTCAATTAAAATACCAGTAACTCAAACACAGGGCTTCATGGGTTGTTTCTAGTAATTAGACTAGCAAAGGTCCTCGATCATGTGTATGGGCTGCTGACCTAAGATATTCTTCTAGGTAGTCCCAATATAACCCTTGATAAGCACCATCACTAATTCTCTTCATAATTGCTCTTGATTTTATAAACAGTCTTTCCAGTTTTCTATAATTAAAATGAGTGAGCAAATAGTCACTGAAAGATTTGATGAGGACATAATTCTCCCTTGCTCATTTGAGAGTGGACCCAAAGTTGTAATTCACTGGAGGAATCAAGATCATGTTTACACATGCTACAAAGACAGTGACCACTTGTAAAAGAAAGATCCCAGATACACAAACAGCACACACTCTTCCACAGTGAAATTCATAGTGGAAATGCTTCCCTATCCTTCGTAAGAGTAAGTCTTCTGGATCAAGGAACTTAACTTATATGTGCTGTGTGGGAACAACAGCTAGAAACATCCCGAAGTGCTACTAAAGGTGGGAGCCAAGTATGTACCTAAGGTTTTATAAAACATAACAATGATATCGTTCCATGTATTTCTGAAGTGTCTTTTTCTTAATTTGATATGCTATGGGCTTTCTTCTAAGTCAATATATATAAATCTACATCACTTTTAATGAATAGTATCTCATAGTATAGACATCCTATAATTGATATATCCATTCCCCCATTGGTAGATATGCCAACATTTCTAGTGTTTTACATTATAAAAAAAAATGTTGTGATGAACATTCTTACATTTAATACAGGAAAATTATTCGGAAAAATAAAGTATCAGACATAAGACTTTAACGCACTACTTCCACCAGCAATATTAGAGCATCCTCTTAGTCTTATCAGCACTTAGTATCATCAATTGTAAAAGTTTATGCCAATATGATAACTTAAAAAATACTGAATTATTGACTTAAATTTTTCTGTTTTCTCAAAAGAGTTAATTTTAACATTATATACAGTTGACCCTTGGAGAACACAGGGATTAGAGATGCGGACTGCCCGTGCAGTTAAAAATCTGCCTAAAACTTAAGTCAGCCCTTCGTACATGTGGATTCCCAATGGCCATGTGACCCTTGAATAATGTGGGTTTGAATTGTGTGGGGCAATTGAAAAATACCCACATGTAAGTGGACCCATGCCATTTACAAGAGTGTTGTTCAATAGTCAATTGTATTGATCTCTTGTCCATATTAATTGTATCTATCTATTTCTTTATTGGAGGAAGTGGCATTTTCTAATGGTTGTTTTATCCCACACTGTTCCTTTTCCTTTTCCCTATTTAGCTGTTTCAGACCTTGACTCAGAGATCTAAGAATTATATGTAAGCAGGGTCAAAATGCTAAGTCAGCACCTGAAGAGCATGGTGTGCTGCGTGAGCTGTAGTTTATAGACTCCAACACCCACATTTTGGTTGCTCAGGAGGCCATTTGATTTCTTCCTAGTATTCTTTCTGGAGAATCAGGATTGCTATTTGTTATGTATCCATGAATGCCCTTTGTTCACTTGTAGATAATCACATACCTATCTTAAGGTTCTACAGTTTTTGTGCTGTTTTTGCTTTCAGTAACTGCCAAATTTTGCTCATAAAGGTTAGCTTTTCATTTCATGAGTATTGAAATAATAAATGCCCTGCTCAGATGACCTAAAAAGAAGCTAATGATGACAGTTCCTTGTGTGCTCTTCATTCTCCCCCATGGCTTTTGTCACACCTGTCGTGAAGTATGAAGAGAGGACACAAACAGCTCCTTAATATGCGGCACGTTAAATGTTTATCCTCATCCACTTATCACACAGAAAGTGACAATACACCTATCTCTGAAAGCACTATGGAAAAAATTGGGTCTTTGATCTGTTGTATAATGTTAGAATAAATATCACAGGATCAACTTTATCTTATGAATGTGCTATGAAAACCCATTGCTAAAGCAAACATGGACAGGGAGATGGATAGTGAAAGGCAGATTTCCTGGGGCTTCCTGTGTATATGTGCTGTGTCAGAGTGCGGGAGGGAATGGGATTTATTTACAGGGAAAGAAAGGAATAGGAAAGAAAGAAAATACATTTGTGGCTGCTAGAAGACTGGGAGTGGAGTCCCAGGTCTAATATTCACGGCTGTGTTACCTTAAGCAATCATTTTTACTTCTGAGCATTAGTTCCTCATTAATGAAACGGAAGTAATTCTTACCTTCCTAGGTCTTTATGAGTTGAAGGAAAACATTTGTGAAATGGAAAGTAGCAAATCTATTCATAAATACTACTGTGTTTCTCTAGAGTTCATCCTCTAAAGAGGATTTTACACCTTCACTGTACATTAAAAGATCAGAGGAGAAGGAAAGAATGCTTGTGTATTATCAGGTCCCAACCTCTGATTCTTGCCAATCTTTCAACTAAATAAAAATTAACTGATTAGTATTATTGCTTCTGTTTAGTCTTTCTATGTAGTCCCAACCCAGTAGTCTTTATCAATACCTCTATCATTGCATGGGCAGTTTTTCACACTCTTTCCTCTCATTCCTTTGAACAAACCCAAACTCTGATCAATCTCTATATCTATAACCTAGTGTTTAAGAAAAATTGAGGAGAAGAAAAGTGTATTTGACATTGTTTATCCAATTCCAAGGAAAAATAATGTTTTATATTTCATTAGAAGCAAAACAAGATTTTTCTGTAAATCTCCCTTATATAAGGAAAGTGGAGATTAGCTCTCTGTTTTGGACTTCTCCTGAGTTTCACATTCTCAAAATGCCCCCTGAGAAGACACTAAAGTTATAAGCATTTCATACCTGTACGTGATTTGAGTGCTGAAGGAACGGTCACCCAATGTCCACTTCTCATCAGCCAGGCAGCAATGGAAACATGGGAAACAATGAAAATATTAAATTGTAAGTATTTTCTATGAGAAATTGTATTTTCTCATGTTCATCCAGAATTAAGTGTCCTGAAGCATCAATATGTCCTTAGGCTTCCTATTTATCTTGTCGAGGACCTATAACGTGCCTGGTAAGAATTCTTGCCCTCTGACTGTGAGCATATGAACATGGACTCTTATTTTCTGGATCTACAGCATCTAGCATAAACGCATAAAAAGAAAACTCAACCAGGAAGTGTACATAAAACGATAGCAATTAATTCTATTCACTGTGGTTGGGAATGAATGGAGTTAAGAGTATATGCTTAAGAAAGTTGCCTGAGAGTAGAATTTTAAAAGAGTTGTAGGAAATTCCAGGAGAACGCAGGCATTCCATGTTAAAAAGTGCATTATGTGCAAAAGCACAGAGGATTAAATATTACTGGATTTATGAAAGTTTAAGTGGTTGACTGTAAGGCTAAATTGTCAAGTGATAAGCCTGGAGAAGAGGGCAAAAACCAGATAAAAGGCCTACTAGAGTTTGCAAAGGAGCTTGAGTGGGGTCCTGGAGTTAGTGTGGAGCCAAAGAAGGATTAGAAGCATCAGAAACATCCTGGACTTGAATTTTAGATGGTTTGCTTTGACATATTCTCTTCCAGGTGCACTAAATAGTGGGTGAGTCTAGGGCCAGAAAGAACAATAGATGGCAGTCCGTAGAAGTAGACCTGCAAAACCATACAACAGGAAGGACAAGATGGAGCTGATCGGGGGGCAAACTGAGAATACCCACCACAGCTTCTGCTCCAAAAGAGCTTGGGCCAGTGGAGGATTATTTACAAACACTTGGAAATGTACTTCTTATGTGTAAGAAAAGGCACTTTGTCTAGAAAGAGAGATTAAGAAATGATTGAGACCATAAGGTAACAGACAACTAGGGAGTAGATATAGGGACAAGAGATGAGTCCTGGGGAGGGGGTGGGGGGCAGCACCGCTAGGTCCACAGAAGCAGAGCAGGGAGTTGAAAGGTCAGTAACTGGTAGCAATGTTAATATTGGGTGCCCATGCCTGAGTGCTCACTGTCAGGTTGTAGAAGTTAAAATCCAGGGGGTGTTACACCCCTCGCTGGCCCAGGCTTAGGCCTCCTTGAATGCCTAAACTTAACCTTGATGGGCGCCTTGAAAATAATGGTACTAAACATTTTCTTTAAAGAAACTCTATAAAAGGGTATTTTCAACAATATTTCTAAATGCATTTCTAAGTGTAACTTTAAAAATTTATATGAAAATTTTATGCTCATTGATGTTTCCTTTTCTGTCCTGTTGTTAGATGGTCTTTGTAAAATGCAAAGGGAAAGCATTTTACTCTCATGTGAGTTGCAAACTATTCTTTCCTACTGAATCAAGATATCGTAACCACTTGGTCCAGAGTGGAAAGTGGTATTTCCTCAGTCCTGAATTACTTTCTGAGCTCCTCACAAAATACAATTATCAATGAACCCTGACTTGCATGGAATGAAGAGCTAATAGTGATTTTTAAAGCCAGACTGACTTTTCTTTTTTTTTTCTTTTTTCTTTTTCTTTCTTTTTTTTTTTTTTTCTTTGAGGGACCTTAGTCCTTCAGGCAATGAGAAATATTTGTGCAATATTTCTTCAAGCAAATATACTTGTGCTCACCTTCCAAACACTGCATGTAGGTAAGTTATCAATACAAGTAGGGTTGGATAATGGGTTTAGGCTATAGCAGCGGAGACTGTGAATTGCAAACAGGGAAATCAGGTTGGCATTTAAAGAATACCTTTGATTAGCATTTCTGAAAATGTTATTTATAAGAATACTTCTGGTCGAGCTAGCAAACAACATCCTTACTTCAACCACACACAAGTCCTGCAGTGAACAAAAAAATTCTCCCATGAGATTTTCTTTCTGGGGTTTCAGGGCTTCAGAAATTAAGAGGGAACATCCATGTTTTGTGACTCTGAACTGGGTATCTTAAATTCCTGTTTGCCACTGTCTTTACTTTGTGCCTTAGCATCCAGCGTTCAGAGAGTTGAGGCTGTAGGCACAGTAGAAGTTGGAATTGGGGCTCTGCTGGATCCTGAGGAAGCACAGTCTGTGAACCTGGTGCAAAGAGTCACCAAAGGACCCTTGAAATACTAAGTGTCTGCCTGGCTCAGCCATTTTTTACCTCTATGCATAGCCAAATATCAAAACTAATCATTTGAAATATTTCTAGTCTACTACTCATAATGGAATGCATACCCACGAGGTTGAGTTTCTAGGTGGGTTGGCTAATTCCTTTACCCATAAACTATCAACTTCACATCATGGGAGACCATGGCATCTCTCTTTTTATTCTTTATTAAAGTTATCTGAGTTCATGGAATATGGTTTGGAAATATTTTATCATATCATTCTAGTTGTGAAAATTAGTAGGAATAACATATTTGGAGGTTTGGTCATTGTATGCAGTGAGATTAAGAGATAAGGACAGAACATGGTTTTTAAGTTAAGCTGGTCTTCAAACACATAGAACCCAATAGGCACTAAGCAATAGCACTTCCTTTGAGAGTACTAAAAACAGAAATGTATTTGAAGCTCCTACTTTTCTCCCAAATAGGAGTGTTTGTTTTATGTAAAATATAGTTAAACTTGCATACTATTTTTTTAACGTTGCCTCATGTTGGATGCATTTTGGAGTGTAGAAAAATAATCAGGCAGAAATGGTCTGCAGACCACATATGGCTCATCTTCCTAACCAGAGATCTAATTTTCAGTTTACACAAAGCAAAGCCTCAGGACCAATCCATCTCTGATAAAGAAAACAAGCTTTTTGGAACCTCTCATTCCCAGCAAACCCTGCCCAGTTGAGACTGGAGGAGGATCCACTTTTACCCCCCAGGAAGAAGTCTGCAGCATGATCTAGCCCAACAGGGAAGAGAATGGGGCAAATAATCTTGGCACCTTGCACATCTCTCTTTCAAGGAAACTTGGTTTTCTGTTCTGAATTGCAATATTCCACTTGCTGCCTTGTCCAGAACATGTTGCAACATTTGAAAAGGAGGTGCAGATAGGGGTGCTTATTATTCTCAGAGTCTCGATCTACTAGATAATGGTTGCACTGAATTGAAGGTAATTAAATAACTCCTGCTAAATTTTGCTGCTGAATCAATATGTGACCTTGGGTGAATCTCTTTACAGATGGGGGAACTGAAGGTCACAGATAAAGTAAGAAGAAGCTATACCTTACAGGATTTTTGTCAGGAGGAAAAATAAGCTTATGAAAACTATTTGGAAAGTCAGCTTAACATTTCTACTTAATTGCTCCTTCTTTACATGGGTATAGAATTTCAGAATGACACAAATATGTGGAGAGATTATGTTTTTTATTGTAAAACATTAAGTAAGAATATGTTCATAAAGTTGATATCTATTATATAGCACTGTTCATTTTAAAATACAGCCATAACCATTTTTTTCCCTCCTAAATAGGCCTTTGTGCTCTAATGCTTGCTTAGGTCACAAGATGAGCAGGTTCTGACTTCGGTAACACAAGGTGTCTAAGTTCCTGCCTTCTGGGGTCCCCACTTCCTTTAATACTAATTGAAATTCTAGCACCAAAAAAGATGCTGGGAAAAATTCGGGCACCTCCAGCTATTGCTGAGGAGCTTCAGCACTATTATCCCTGTGGTCACCTGTCATCTCTCACTCCAGACCATGGCTGCTACTTAGGTTTTCTCAGCACCTCTGCATTCCTTATCACTGTTTCTCTAGGAACCTGTCTTCTCCATGCAAGGAGAACACGGGACTGAGGCTAGTTTGTATAGTTTGTAGTCATAATTATTCCTTTGTAAAGAGGGTGTTAATTCTCTTATCACAATATAAAACAATAGACGCTTAAACACATAACATAATCATTGCCTCTCAAGTTTTCTGACTCTTTTTCTCTTCCGACTCTCACCCCTACTAACCCCAAATTCATTAAAATTGTGGCTTTTGTAGGTTTTTCTACAAAACAGGCACTGAGACTGGGAGGTATTATCTATGCTCATAAAAACCTCTCTGGTCCAGACAGGCTTGTCTTTTCACTAATAAGAAATTTGCCCGCCACCCACAAGGCAGAAATAACTTGTTTTAAAAATAGTAAGCATGCTCTACCCATCCACCCACACATTTTCTATTCATTTTTCTTCCAGTTTATAGACTTTTTGTTTGTTTTATTTAGAACCGAGTCAAAGAGCAGCCCTCTGGATTATCATTCTGCCTTTAGTGATTTGGGTGCTTGCGGTGCTTCTGCTGGCACTTTGGGTCCTGCAGTCAAGAAGATGTGCCCCTTTCATCAAATGTGGTAACTCCTGGAGGATTTGGTTCTGTCCCTGGGTGTTCAGGGTGAGGTGTGACCTACAGCTGCACACCTACGCTGCTTCTGGGCATGTAAACAGATCTGAATTCTCCATAAAGTCATTTGGAAAATTTATCAGAAATCTTTTAAAATGCTCTTACACTTCCACCACCCAAATATTCTAATTCTGGGAATTTATTCTGAGTTTAATCACCTGAGACACACCAGACTATATATAAGTACATTCACTGCAGCACACTGCCGTTAATTCCAGCTTTTCTACTATTTCAATAAATAACAGAGGATTGAGTAATCCTCTGTTATTTGATGGCAAAATTAATTGGCCATCAAACGTTAGCTTTTTGTTTTTACTAAAAAAAGATTTAAAAATTAAATCTGGCAGTAAAATAATGCCCCGTATGATTCCAATGATCTCGCATTGAAAAATAGCTGAAAAGAAGTAAGCAAAAGCTTTACAAACAGTTGCTTTTGGAGGAAGGTTGCTCCTCTCCTCAACTCACCTGCCCAGGTACCTTATGGACTTCCTTAAGGCCCTGGCTCTGTTTTCTCTTTCTTTCAGCTTTATGTATAGTGGCCCATGCTCAAAATAGTATTTTCCTTTATGTGTCATTTTATTTTAATTCTTTTAAAATATTTAAAAACCTTTTCCAAATTTTCTGCAACAAAGCAGTGTTACTTAGGGCAATTTAAATGATATATTAAGATGCCATGGTCATTGGACTTCTTAAAAGACTTCATTTTTATCAGCAGAGTTAGATTTAGAAAAAACTTATTTCCATATTTTGCAGGTTAGGAAAGTGGAATGCAAGACGTTAGCTTAAATGCTAAGTAGGCATGTGAAACAGACTTAAGCCCACCTAAAATGACTCAGCTAACCAGTGGCAAAGGTATGTTTAGGCCCCAAGAAGCACCCCCTTATTCCACAATTCCCCTGAGAAGGCTCTGAGGGTCCTGGGAGGTTGAAAGAGATCCCATATCTCTTCATCTGGTTGGTATCTACCTGTCACTTCTGTGGAAGGATGTGGTCATAGCAGAACCATTATTGAAGGTAAGATTTTAAGAGTGACTGTGAGCAAGAGCTTCAGCAATTTTAGCCCTGTGATCGTGTGAATAGGCAGGCTAGGCCTCTTGTTACACCTATCTCTTAGCTGGCCAGAAGTAGGAAAAAAAAAAAAATAGGAGATCACAGGCAATACAGTTTGTCCCAGAAATATAACCCTTGACCTAATATAAGGATATTTGTGATTGGATTAGGTTCAAATAATAGGAGAGAAAAGCACTACATACTGATAAAGAATGACAAATTTGTTTCTATATTGGCATTGTGCATAGGTCAGTGCCTAACAGAAGACACCTGGCACACTCAAAACTCTACAGAGGGGAGCACGAAAGATAGTGTGTTCCCTCAGAGCTGGGAGCAACTGATTCACTAACACAACTAAACTTGAGGGGGCAAGGAAAAAGAGCAGGTTCCCAAAACCTGGAAGGAGAGAGTTGCATAAAATCTGCTGTCTTATAAGGAGGGTGACTTTCACTTCAAGAACACAGCCAGACCAAGATGACCCTAAAGGGAAGGAGCTGGAAGAATAAACACCCAATTTTGTTTCCCCCGCCCCGATCCCCACCTCAACCAGAAACCAGATGGGAGAGATGCCCTACACATGGGACCCATATAGGTCAGCTGTCCAGGGCAGAGGGCAGGAAGCGTACCGATTCTGAAGGAGCCGTCAGGAGGTATCAGCAAAAACAATGTCGGATGGATTAAAGACTTAAAGATTAGACCCAAAACCATAAAAATCCTAGAAGAAAACATAGGCAGCAAAATCTTGGACATTGCTCTTAGACTATGTATCTGATACATCTCTCCAGGCAAGGGAAGCAAAAGAAAAAATAAACAAATGGGACTATATCAAACTAAAAAGTTTTTGCAAAGCAAAGGAAACCATCAACAAAATAAAAAGACAAGCCACAGAATGGGAGAACATATTCACTTGTACATCTGATAAAGGGTTTAATATCAAAATTTATAAAGAACTTATAAAACCCAACACCAAAAAACAAACATTCCAATTAAAAAATGGAGAAAGGATCTGAATAGACACTTCTCCCATCAGGACATATAGATGGCCAATAGACGTGTGAAAATGTCACTAATCACATATGTCACTAATCATCAGAGAGATGCAAATCAAAACCACAATGAAATATCCCCTCACACCTGTCAGAATGGCCATCATCAATAATCAACTAACAACAAGTGCTGGTGAGGATGTGGAGAAAGGGGAATCCTTTTGTACTGTTGGTGGGAATGCAGACTGGTGCAGCCTCTGTGAAAAGTAGTGTGGCACACCTCAAAAAATTAAAAATGGAACTGCCTTATGACCCAGTGATTACACTTCTGAGAATTTATCCAAAGAAACCTGAAACACTAATTTGAAAGGACATAAACTCCCCTATGTTCATTGCAGCATTATTTACAATCGCCAAGCTATGAAAGCAGCTCAAGTGTCCATCAGCAGATGAGTGGATAAAATAACTCTGGTACATTTGCACAATGGAATACTACTCAACTGTAAAGAAAGAAATTTTACCCTTTGTGACAGTATGGGTGGACGTGGAGAATATTGTGTAAGTGAAATAAGCCAGTCAGAGAAATGCAAATACCATATGATTTCACTCATATGTGAAATCTAATGAACAACTGAACTAACAAGCCAAATAGAGACAGATTCACAGGAGAGCAGGCTGACAGCTCTGGGAGAGGTGGGTTTAGGGTGGAAAACGGAAAACGGACTCA